TACATTGTTTTGGTGCGGTCTGATAGGTTTTTGACCTTAGCTTGCGGGGGGGAGGGTCTTGATGTGTACGACGATAACACAAAGCCGTTTTACAAGATACCCTGCAGAGATGACTTTGCAAAAGCAAAAAGGGTTGTAATCTTCACACGGTATTGTAACCACAATATTTACATTTTGTATAGTAATTATGTACCCACTTAGCGAACACAGGTATTTACGCGTCGTAATTATATATGGGGTGTACTGTCGAGTAACATGAAACATTAAGATGAGGTGATGTTATGTCTCCAATTTGGAACCATAAAAATGGGTGATGTGAATAAACCTCAATTAAACGTCTAAGACCCTAATTACTACAACTTTATATTTGCTTGGGAATTTAGTCTGAAATCAATTGGGACCTCATTTTAAGTCCCTTCCACTAACAGTTCACGGTTGTAGTCCCTTCTCTATACAAACTATCAACCACGATTGACGCTAGGCTAACCTTGGCGCACTGCCACTCCAACATCCAATCCCAGAGCTTGAAGATTAATCACGGGGACTGTAGTCCTAAACAATAGCTGGGGATTATGGGTAGTGTAGTGTCTTCGGCCATCCTAAACTCCTAGAGGCCTACGTCTGTTTCCGGTTATTTTTACTTTGAAATTCAATTCCTGACGGATGTAAAAAAATCACGAGATTATGGAAATAAACCAATAAATAAAAACAAGGATAATTATGTGTTATTGTTGAGTAAATAACAGTGTGTTATTTTGAAAAGAATAACAAATTAGAAGGAAAAAAATATTTTAAAAATACAGATTTCAGTATCCTGAGGCTCTCAGCCCCATTTATTTTCCTCACAGACGGCAACAAAAGTCAGAAATTATACGATTTAAAATAAAAGCAATAATTGTGGCTTGATATTGAGTAAGAAAATGTTTTTATGAACCACACAGCTTCCGGTCTTCCTATAACACGTAATGCCGTGAGACTACCAATAGAAATACATTGCTTTTAAAATCGTGCTGTGCAACACGAAAAAAAGGGGAAAATCGTGTTGGTGAACACGAAACAAAAGATAAAAAATCGTGTTGGTGAACACGAAATGCCGTGAGACTGGGTTGAGCTTTCCTAGGTTTTTTCCAAAGAAATTACAAATCATCGACCCATATTATGAATTTGTTCTCAATGTGTGATTTTGCTTTACATGAATTTATAACTGGAGGCTACTCAATTATTCACCAATTATGATAATATCAGTATGTACCCTATACAGGTTGTATTTTACAACATTAAGATATGTAACTTAGATATATTCGTGTGTTTGAACATGATGCCTGTTTTTCAGGATTCCTGAATGAAAGCTGCTGACGTGATCTGAACATGCAAGCTGTGTGATAAATGCATCAGTGATGTTTGTGGGCAGCTTTGACTTAGGATCCTCCAAATGCAGTCAGTCATTGTGGACTTTAAATTCTTCATATTACCTTGACAGTAAATATTATGCAACATTCTGCCAAATCACTTATTTTCCTTCATATTTTAGGTCTTGAACCATGTTGAGGCAGCTGGTTTCTACCCATGCATTATCTTAGTATTCACACATGTGTATATGCCTATCATTTATGACTGTCTATGGATAAATTAATGTGCACTAAAGCTCTCCTATAATATATCTAGGCTGTAAGCAGAGATATAATTCAAATGTTATTCACTCACAGCATCCAACCCTGCTGTAGCTTAGGAGATCTACTTTAGCTCTCAAGCACTGGAACTGCATAAACGCAAACATTATTTATGATAGTGCTCAACCCTAGCTCTTACATGCGTCACACATGTATGACACAAAGCACAACAAGGTATTTAAAGCGAACATACTTACAAAGAAACAACAACACAAATACATAAATGATTTGACCTCTTAAAATAACATCCATCCTTATTTTAAGGTTACTGTATCATCTTATTTCACAGTCTGTATGATATGATATAATGTTCTGTATCAGTTTCTTCCAAAATAAATTCGAAGCTACAGTCCATGATAATTGCCCTGAATAAAATATTTAAACCTTAGACTCTGTGGCATGATCATTTGGCCATATTCCTTAATTAAATGCAAATCTCCCAGGTGTTTTGAGTATTCATTGGACATGCACGTTTCTTCAGATTCAGCACGACATATTTGTTATTTGTCTTTTTCATTGGAGTGGAAAATAGAGTTCTGTGAGTTGGACCGTAACTTGGAAGAACAACATCATTTTGATTGACAGTGAGTGACAGGTGAGCCGGAGAGGTACAAATAAATCCCCACTCAACAGGTTGTTCACAGCTTTTAAAGACATATCCTTCGACCGAGACGTTTCTATCACAACGTGGAAAAAAAGATGAATGTATTTCATTTTATCTTGACATTTTCCTTTGGTCCAGGAAGCTTACTAACTGACTCCAGCCTTATAGTTTCAACACAAACAAGGTTTATCCTTTACAAAATGTTTTATTGCGTTCATCAAAGATGCATATCGTCTATACTGACACAGAGTTTATTGGGATTCTGTTCATGAAGCGTTTTCATGCTTGGCACATATTTTGCTTCTGACTGACAGAGGCTCAGCTGTTGTGCATCTGAGCCTCTGTCAATGCATTTATCTTCACTTTAATGGCCAGGAGCTCTACTGCTGCTCTCTTTACTTATGTATTAGCTCAGAGCCTGCAAGGTATTCTTAAAATTCAACTCATCTTTTAGCCTTTAGGTTTGACTCTCCCTTAAGATTTCCACCACAGTGAAGACTGCTCTCAGTTTAAATTGTATCATGTCTCAAGAAGAAAACACTACAAAACTCAAAAAATCAAATGTTTGTACCCTACCTTTAAACAGTTGGTAAGCGTTTATACTTAAAACACATTATCTTTTTGCTGTTTTGTCAAGGTCTTAACACACCTTTAAAAGTGTCAAGAGATTCTTTCCTATTATATTTTCAAAGAGACTATGCTAGAGTCGTGGTACAGCTGCTGAGAAGGCTCCATTTAAAATTTTGATTATGGGATGGTTAGCAGCCCTTAATCTGTAGATCTGAGGCACCTAACCATATGTAGATTGAAGTTCTGATATATAGCTTGAGGGGATATTAGGACTTTAAACACTAACAGAAAAATCTAGTAAGGGATATGATATTGATCAGGGAGCTGCAGAATCAAATCCTGGTGATATTGGAGCAGAATTACTTTTTAAAAATCTTTAGGTGATATGAATGTCCAGATCTTAAACCCCTTTTCCCTGGACAAAAAACTCACTAACACCGACCAACATCTGGCTTTTGGGAAAAGTCTCAATCGACAAATGACACTTGGGGAGATTAAGAGTTTGAAAGAAAGCTTTAATAATATAAGTGTTAAAAATAATTACCCATAGTAACCATATTAGTAAATTGCTTTCTGGCACATCAGTGACATATGGCCTATTATTTGCAGGTTTTCTTGTGTTTCAAAACTCTGCATATACACTTATTTTCATGGAAAAAAGGGATAGGATATAATTCTGAGCTTGTGTTAACCAGTCAATCACATTTCTGAATTATTTTATGTTTTTTTTTTATTGCATAACTTTATGGTCGAAGATACAATCTAGTTTTCCATTTTTTATTTTTGCCTGAATATAGAGTCTCACCAACTCATGTGATGAAATTTTTTTCATGGGAGAACTGTTAAAATCTTTGTCCAATTTTTCATGAGAACAAAAGGCAAGTGAAACTAAAAGTGAAACCCAGTAGTGTGTTTTCCTCTGCCGTTGCTTAATTTGTCTGCAGAATTGCAATTACTGTTCTTACACAAGATGCATTTGTTCAGCTAATGACACACCACTCATTCAAGATAATAATAACGTCAGTAATCCAGCATTTCCAGCTACTGAGACTCAGATTTTTATAAAAGCACTTCTTTTTTTTTACCTCATGATTAATCTGTGGACATAATTACAGCTTTACAGAGTTGTAATGAAATGGACAGCATTTACTATATATTGCATTTACCCAAATTGATGGTGGTTGTGAAACGGCTAGGCGGTGACCTGGCTATCATTACCAAATTGGGTGTGTGTTTTGATCAATAACCCTTTAAGGGCTAGGGCTCAAACCAACAACCCTGTAATTAGATGAGCTGCTTTACCTGCCTGTTTGGTCAATGTCAATGTGTCAAGCTGTCGCCTCCCGGTCCGTTTTATGAAGAATTACTTTATTTAAGTCTGAGAGAGGGAAAACTATGTTTTTCAAGTTTTCTTCTCTCCAAAAGTACACAATGAGCTCAGACTGTTACCCCATGGCTGGTCCTGAATCAGTTGAGAGCGGACAACTGTTGCCTTGGGAAGTTAATGGGATCTGATGAGTGGGGTCTATCACCAGATGTTTGTTTCAGACATCTTAGTCTCTCTCCCATTCCAGGGATTCTGCCATTGTATTGCAAGTCCAGAGCTAAATGTTCTTCCTGTCAGCATACAAGATTGAAAAAAAATAAAATGCACATTTATGATGTCTTTTAATATAAAGAGTGTTACTCAAGATTCTCACTTTTTAAAGGGATTTGTGTAGGTTTTGATTGGTGTGTGTGTGTGATTGCAAGTATGCATTTAACAGTAACATTACAGCTGTGTACAGTTTATTGGTCGGTTAACAAATGCTACCATTCGGTTTTGGTTCCCACCTGCAGATTTGAGTAAAAGGGGTAGCCCTGAAATGTCTCACTTTAGGTTACCTTTAATGTGGACCGGCTAGTACCATAGTAACAAGACACTTTTTAACTCACCACTCTGCAGTTAGCTTTAGCGCACTGTCTGAGTCCGTAACGTGCTAAAATCTGGCAAGAATATTAAGTAACACCCGTAATTGTACTGATTGCAGATCTATTGTTGAATGTGACAAAGAAAAAACTCAATGCGTTCGTCCCAGACAGGACTGGAGTGAGGCAGCAATCACAATTAGCTATAAATTATTTTAAAAGAATCGCTAAATTATTGGCAAAAGTAAGTGTTGTTATGGACCAAATTACGATGATTGTGCAGCTCTTTTTTAAACATATTAGGTCACTTCACATTTACTGAATGTACTTTCAAAAGAAAAAATTACGAGAACAAAAAACAATGTTTTGTGGTTGGTGATTTATTAGGACTCAGAAGCAGTTGATATGTATTTTATGAATTGATTGATTCATTTACTGATTGCGCTATATATACTTTTTTCAAGGGTAGTTTGCCAACCTTACAATTATGACATTTTATTAATTTTGGTCATTGCCGTAGCCTTCTCTCTCCTCATATCAATAATTCTGTCTTGTCTATCTGATTAAGATGTATCACTAAACAAAACCTCTTTTGTGATTTCACGCAGATGTTTATTTTTCACCAAGTGACCATCACAGTCCCGGAGAATTTCACCCAGTGCACCACCCACGGCAGCTTTGTCCAGCACTGGCAGGAGACCCTCTACAACATTTTCAACTTTGTGTGCCTCTTCCTCCTGCCTCTGGTCATCATGATCTTCTGTTACACACGAATCCTCATCGAGATATCCAGCCGCATGGCCCAAAATAACTGTAAGTGACCCGTTTCCTTCAAAATCTTTTTTTAAAGATGAATTATGTTTTCTGATATGCCGTGCATGACGAATATAGGGTTTTCTCCTCTTCCAGTGCTGTCTAGAGATATTCATCTCCGCCGCTCCCACAACAACATCCCCAAGGCTCGGATGAGGACTCTTAAGATGAGCATCGTCATCGTGACTTCATTCATCGTCTGCTGGACCCCGTACTACATGTTAGGCCTGTGGTATTGGTTATTTCCTGATAAAATGGAGGAAATGGTTTCACATTCAATGACTCATATGCTGTTTATCTTTGGTCTCTTCAACGCCTGTCTGGATCCAATCACATATGGTCTCTTCACCATTCATCTTCACAAGGGTCTTAAAAGATGTTGTCCAACTTTCACCAAACGGACTGAATTGGAAAACAACACGTGCCTTGTACAAATGAATCGCCTGTCGTCTCACCGGCAGATGGTCTCTAGTAGTCACAATACAGACACTGAAGGAAACCACAGCATGAAAAGGCCAATCGTCCCAGTGAGCAAGATCTAATGGCTTGATGAATTGCAATGAAAGGAATGAAAGGAATATTCCAGCACTGAGTTTAGTCTTTCTCCAGATACAGCCAGTTTTATGATGTTGCTTAGAAAATATGTAGCTCCTTTCGCAGACAAATATGTTTGTTTCCGCTGCAATGAAGTAATCGATAGAGTATTATTGCTTTGCCTTGGTTTTCTCCTGCATCACTGATCAGATTTGACAAAAAGCTGCAGAGTGGTGCATGATGCCTTTTCCCCCTGTGATTGGCTGAGGGTCTCCCTGTACATCACACAGAATATCTTACACACTGCTGATCCGATATTCCTATGAAGCTTAAGGGCTTGTGGGGAAAAAAATCAGGCCCAAATGGTGACAAATCTGCTTGAAGTTCCTATAAATTGATTTAAAATGTCTTTCACAGATATTTTCTAGTATCTTTCGGATAAAAGTCCTTAAAAGGACTTTGATACACAGTTTGAAAGGCTGTCACACTCGTGGACACACACACATTTGGGCTTTACTAAGTGGATCTCAAAATATCCTGTAAGAAACAGCAGAAACAAATATGTGTGCATTTGATTTAAGATTATCAAAAATATAATATGCTGTCTGTTGTGTGGCTTCTCTTTTATGTTTACATGTTATGTGTCAAATGTGTATATTGTTGTTTTATTGGGAGTGTTTGCCCTACAGTAAACTGCTGCTGTTCATTGCTTATTGGAAACTGCTCTTGAATGTAATTTGTAATGTTGTGTTTGTAATGCTGTGATTTTCTTTCGTTACAAACCTTATGACATGAACATTATCGACCACAAAGGCCTTTTAAATAAATGTTTTGCCATACAATTCCATGTATTGAATGTCCCTGCGCTGCATGTTGTTGAAGTGCTATTGACTGTGTAAATTGTCTAAGATCAATTCTGTATTTGCTGTGTTGCACAAATCACACTGGAGTCAAAACGTTATGAAATACACGGAAATGACCCATAATGCCATTTGTTATACTTTACATTTCTATTTGTGTTAGTAGTGTATTATGTTGTGGATTGTATTGCTTTGTGAGACCAAAAAAACTGCTTAATTGAAAACATTGATATTGTAAGGTTAGCAGTAAACAATAGTTTTTCTAATATGTAGGTGCAAAAAAGAGAGATCAATAGGCTAGCATTTGTTTGTTTGCATGATATCGTTTATTTCTTGCAATGTATGGAAGATGTTGTGATGTATACTTGCAATTTGTGGAATACAAAAAAACTGCCTCTATTCCATGCATTGGGCGAAGCACAAACAATGAGCTGCCTTTTACTGAGAACGGCTGCATTTATCATTACCTGGAATATCTATATCAGAGGAGAATATTTGCAATGGCTAAAAGCAATTGGCATTTCTTGGTATCTCAATACACAAACCTAAAGTCAAGACCAAAGACATTACTGATATAGATCCTCTGAATAACTTTCTTTTTCTTATACAATTATATTATGTTACTTACCCTTTGCCATTTAGGCATTATGGCCGCATACCAACACGATTGTTGAGTGGCTCTAGTAGACAAATGGACATGATCTGTAACATTTGTTTTTTTTTGTTTTTTGAATATTCAAACGGATACCGTCCCCCAAAACAAAAAAGGTAGTTCAGTAATTATTATTTTCTGAAGTGTGGTCCATTAAGTTGCCATTGTGGAGCCTTCAATCATATCGCTGATGGAGATCGCCACGTCATTGTCATGGAATAGTAGATGTTCAAATTTCCAGGACTTCACCTCGATGTGAGCAATTCTGGCAGCTGCTGATAGAGATCATGCGATATGATGGAAAACTCCAGAGCAGCTTTTATAAATGAACCTGCCGGTGACTTTTCAAATGCTGTTTCCAAGGTTATGAATGAACACAGTTATCTTGTCTCTAACACTGCTAACATTTATTCTTGTTGACGAAAAAATCCGGCACAGTTTACCGCAAAAACCCTCAAATGTTGCATTTACACAAAATGTACAACTAACTGCAGAAGATGCCCCTTTTAAAGATTACTAGATGTTTCAATCCATCCTTCAACGCCAGCATTCAAAGTTGAGGTCAGGCCACCCTCTGCAAGCCCAGAGAGGAATAACACTCATTGATAATAAGGCAATTTTGTTCTCTGACTATCTAAGAATTTTTGAAAAGCTATTAAATTGAAATGAAATGTCCTACAGTGACAGGATACCATATCAAACCACTCTTTCACTTTGTTTAATTGGGGATTTAGTTGGATTCAGAATTCCTTTGTAACCATTAGGATTATCTCTTCGGTGTTCACTGCCAAAAAAGTGATTCTTCCAAAAGCAATTATTAGGAATGTGTACGATGAAAGTGCTACAGAGGATTATATCGATCAAGTGACATTGTTTTTATGATGTATTAAAAAGGTGTAACCATGTCAAGATATTAAATATTGTTATCTTTCTTCAGTTAATCTCAAGTGCAATTTCATTGTGAGAGATATTCATGCAAAGCTGCTTAAACTACAAATGTTGTCATTTTCTACAGATATACACTAGAGCTGTTACCTGGATAATGAAGTGTTATTTGGTGTTATGAGCATTTCCATTCACCAGATGTGAACCACTTGTGTTTTAGCATGATCCACATTTTACATCACAATCACTACAAAGCTAAGAGGATGATGACTCATGTGACTTGCTGAAATGTATGAAATATAACTTCAATTTGCCTTGCATCCATATCATATACAATGAGTGCCAGTTATGTGAGCTGTCATGAATACGTAAAAGTATAATTAATCTCCTCCAGTGTTGTTGAGAAGAATTGAAAGTATATGTCTAGTACAGCTTCTGTTCCCCGCAGAGAGCAGCGCACTGTGGCTGAACCTGTTAAAACTGACAGGATGTCGCTGACAGGTACATGCTCAGGTATGCACAGAGAAATACTCGTTAGTGACCTTGAGCACATAGCCCATGCTACATCATGTAGCGATGACATTCATCTCAGCAGATCCAGCTCAAGGAAGTCGTATTGCTGCAGTGACACTATTAAACCAAAACCTAGCAGGAGATCTTGCACCTGTCATGGAGATACTGCTTTATACATTGACTAGCTTGTCTGATCTTGCTATAAAACCTAACATTTACCGATCAAATCAAAGGATGCATGTCTGGCAATGGGTGCACCACGTACAATGCAAAATGTTCCAGTTTATTGTTTGTGGCAGAAGCAGAAGCATTAGCAGTCAAAGTGAGATTGATTATACACACACATTATTTATTTTTAAATAAATTGTTATCCATGTGGAGAAAAAAACCGGCCAGAACAAAAAATTATAAAGAAAATAACAAAATTGCACTGCACAGTATGGATAAGAAGCACCGTTAAGGAGCATGCGTCATTCAAACATGCAATTAGCCTTTAGAAATAAAAGAGCTCATTCAAAAGGCAAAAAAGACCGGTGTTGAACGAAGGCTCCGGTGTGACAGAGGTCATTCATACCGTGAATTTATGTCAACAGCAGAATTTCTTTATGGGTCCCCGCACATCGAGTCAGCCAAAAGAAAATCACGAGACATTTATTCAGTCCTTTAGTTTATCAAATGGATATTCAAACAATGATAATAATAATAAGTTTCATTTATAACGCACTTCATATTTGAAGTGAATGAGAGCTCAATCCAAGGGCAAACTCATGATCTAATAAACTTTTAATTTCCTTTGACTCCAGAGATCCAGTCAGTGTTACGCTGACTAATCATTTTTTGATCTGCTGCACAATTCATTGAACCCAAGATTCTTTACTTTTTGGCCCAAGTTAGCAGAATGAGTTAGTTTGCTCAGCAGCTGTTTTCCACACAGTCAAGCTGTGCTAACTGCATAGCAACGTGTCAGGCAGTATACAGCAAAGAAAACATCTGTTTTGGAACATAAGCTATATTTAAGGGCACAAACAGCAAAAAACCTGTGCCTATTAAACATGATCAAAATAACCCAACCACTGTTAGAACAAGGATGCATTCAATATATAATTAATTATATAGGATATTTGCACTATTTGTGGCCATACACCAATATTTCAGTCAGCACCAAGTCTTCTTTGGCATCACACTTTGTTAAAAATGAAAATAACTTTAAAAACACAACTTCATTTGTAAATCACAAGTTTTAGAACATGTTTGTATGAATAAAAGGAAAAACAAGATGGAACAGGACATTCTGGAGTCAGTGGAGTCATCTTTGACAACCGCCTCTCCCAACATCGAGCTGAGGAAGATGTGCAGCTTATTAAGCCTCTGGATCATCACACGAGGTCCAATACTGAGAGAGCCTCAGGTACTTTGTGCCCACCGCTGTCAGACTACCAGCAGAGACCACAGACTGTCAGCATTGAACAACAAGGGGCGATGATGTGTTCAGTAGTTTTGTGCTGTGTGTGTGTGTGTGTGTGTGTGTGTGTGTGTGTGTGTGTGTGTGTGTGTGTGTGTGTGTGTATATCTGTGTCCATGCCTAATCTTGCCCTCGACTTGAACCATCAGTCTTGTTTTTTCAGGGCTCATTTATTGCCAAGGACATCGGTGGTAATTAATAATTTATTGAAACAGTAATTGACTGTTTTATACTGTCATTGACTCAACAGTTGCTTCAGTATGGACTCTTGTTTACCTTAAGGACTAGGAATTAGTATTCATTCAATGAAACATGACAGCTGTGGTCGCTGCAGACACACCTGGCAGAGATCTGCACTTTTTTTTGTTACTATTATTATAACATTTGACCTGCTATCCTATACATCAAACTTACTAAACTGTACAATACCTACATGTATTACTATACTATGTTACAACATCATCTTCTATTTTAATACGTTTGCACTTTGCATCATTACTTAATTTAAAACATATGTTTTACTGGTGTTCACTGTAACCATATGCATAAACTCTACTGATACTATCACTTTAACTTGTCAAACTATAACTTTGTCTTTATTTGCTCTTGTATATTTGTTGTATGGATTCAACTCTTAGTTATTTGTATTTGTACTTCTCTGCTAATATTATCTGTACTTATTTCTGTTTGCTGCTGCAACACCTGCATTTCCTCTCTGTGGATCAATAAAGACTTATTTGATCTTATCCTGAAAACCCAGCTGGAGTTGCCAGAATTGGAGGCTATTTTATAGCCTGCCCTACAGTATATCAAAGCAGGTGGAAGTAATTTGACTCACTTTGAATGTATACTGATGCTGTTTTTGATACAATTTTTTGTGTGCATAAGTCACTCAAAATGTGGAATACTGATGTCATATCACAAACATACAAAAAGACAAATGTTTTACACATCTTAGCTAGCTAGCTTACTAAAAGGATTTACAACGTGCTTTAAAAAAAATCTGTATATGCCACTGGCCGTTTGTGATGAAGAAGCCAAAAAAAGACGTGTGTGAGTGTTCCACAGTGTTTGATGAACTCATTTTCATTTGGAAACTCTAAGGCAAGATAAGGACTGAAGATTGTAACTGAAGCTGTTTTGCCAAACTTCACATAGTTCAAGATGTCAGCGGCTGGGTTTTAGCTTTTAATTCGCACCCCTCCAACCTGAAATTCTCCTATTAAGTGTCTCTGAGGGTAAAGTTGCAGAGAAGAGCCACTGTCTAACTTCCTGTAGATCAGGGGTGGGGGACCTTTTTCCTCTCAAGTGCCATTTCAATTTTTTCAACATCCTCCGAGGGCCATACAAATTATTGACCTCTGCTTAAAAATACTAAAATCACAGCCCATTCATTTCGCCTTTCTTGCTGTGCAAAGAAAAAGCAACCTCTTAATCCAGATATCTTACCATGACTCACGTATGCATGCACGTGCACGGTTGTGGCATGACCACCAAAACAGAAAGATATGGACACAAGATGTGTGCAAATGTATTTAGTTTCCTATCCATGTGGACATGATTTAAAGACAAGTTGAAGTTATGTTATAAGTGCTGGATAATCACTTGTATCCACTATGAAGGATGCAACAGGGGTGATTTGACTAGATACTATTTAAATTACACGTCAGTACGTTTCAACATCAGCAGAATATTCTTTGTATACATTTAGTGTAATTTCAAAGGAGATAAAGCTCTCTCACTGTACATTCCACATTGACACCTTATCCAATCAATACACCAATAAGCATTGTGTACCAATCATCAGTGTGTAAATGTATCAGGATGGCTGTCAAGCATCCTACTGATCACTCTTTAAAGTGTATACATTTTGTATTCAGGGATTAAGCCGCACTAAACATGAAGCTGAAACTAGATTAGGTGAATCAGAAAAATAGAATCACTTAATAGCAATGAAGCGGAAAACAAGAAGTTAAACTACTAGATGCTTAATCAACAATAAAGTAAAATGTTATAAAAGATCCTGAGTAG